ACCCGATCGCGACGTTTATCTTCTCGGCACTGGTATTGTTTACAACGGTCGGAATCGTTCGTGACAGCCTCCACATTCTGATGGAGGGAAGCCCTGAAGGTATCAACACCGAAGACATCGAGTTCGGACTCCGAGCATGTTCGTCGGTGGTAGGAGTACACGATCTGCACATTTGGCCGCTGAGTGCTGGATTATCGTCACTGAGTGTGCATATCGTCGCGGACGATGTCGAAGTCGCGCTGCATGCAACCCAGCATTATCTTCTGTCGAAGGGTATTACGCATAGCACCATCCAGACTGAGAAGACGTCATCGTTATACCCTCACAATTGCGCTTCCGATCTGAAGTGTGGTCAGGTTTTGGTAGCGGCAGCGCAAACCTTGGGCTAAGCTTGGTATTGCAACAACCGCTTCGAAATAGTTACTTACTCGCGTTCCTCTGAAATTTATTTCATTCTGCCTGAGCTTGACGGAGGTACCGTCAAAGAATAGCAGTCCTTTTGAAGCAAATAGTTTGGAAAACTTATTTTTTTAAAAAATAAATATAGTTTATTTTCGTCTCGTGGGACTCAATTATAAAATACATTTTATTTTTCTAAGAACGCTTTAAGCTTATAAAAATTAGTTTATCATACTGCGCTCTGAAATTTCGAGCACTGCATGTTAACAAAAACTATAAAACTGTGCAAATAGCGCAGGTGAATGGAACTCGAGTGATATTAGTCCCTTGCAGCGATATCGTACAGCATGACCACGGTAAATTACACCACGGAGGATCTAAAGAGTGTTCCGTTCGTGGGCAAGACGTCAGGTTACTCTGTCACCTTTTTGCTTGGTTTACCTCCTTTTCCTATCAACTGTGCGGCGCTTGCGCGTTGTTCTTGGCCCAAACTACTTAGGTTCCTTCTCGACAGTATACGAACGAGAACAAACAACTACAACACTTTAAGTCCCTCCTGTCTTCGATTAGAAGACCGCATTTAACCGCAGAAGTTCGTCGAACTGGCAAAACAATTGGAGCTTCGACATTGGCAAGAATGCAGGTCGGGTACCTGGCCCTTAGTCTACTCACAGCATCCTCTAATAATATCGTACCACAACTAGCTGAGTGAGTAGCATTACAAATAGAGATCTGGACTTCTAGAGAAAACGCCGTGCAAATCTGGCGGTTTCTATACAAATCGGCGTGCAAAATGCACGGTGAATTCCCAACATGCAAAAATGACTGGTATACAAAAGTCTAGTATAAGCGTTGACATGCAAAGATGTACTAGAAATCGCCGTGCAGTTTGCACTATAATAATTTTGAACGACAAACAACAATGCAACTGGGTAAAAGGCAAGAGGTTAATTAATTAGTGCCTTAAGCTTGTGTGCTTACGTCCTCCACGACAACTGATCCAACGTTCGACTCCTCCCCATACCTGAAGTTGACGCGAACGGAAGACGGCCTTTAATCTGCTCGAATAAAAGCCTTGCTGCATCAGAAGAGTTATGAGCTCGCTTAAGTTCTTCTTGTGTCAGAAGTGCTTCGATTAGCAGCATCACACG